GGCAACATACTCTTTGTGTTCATTTCCTTGCCACTGTCTCTTTAAGAGAACATTCTCGTTTTTTTTGTTGGAAAGAGAAGACCTTAGTCTAGCCAATGATGTGCTTTGATTAAGTTATATGACATGCAGTTTCTTTTCTGTGGCGAGATTTCTGACAGACTGCCATCTCTTGTCGGTAGTTGCTGAAAGCAAACTAAAACGTCAGTAACAAACAAGGACCAGTCCGTGTCACTTCTACAAAAAAATCTAAAACATCCTGAATAAAACAAAAGAATAATGATAAAGGAATAATGAAGATAATGTCTCATACCTGGCGGAGGTGTGAAAGGTTCAACACGTGACAACAATAGAATCATGAATGGGGCAGTTTGCCGAGCCAGACATGAGGAGACAGTTTACAGGAGAGCTTACAGGGGTCATAAATCAATTTTGTTAGCCTTTTATTAGCCTTCTCTAAAAACACGCATGACATGGTCTTAGAAAATGTTTAATAAAATTCACAGTTTTAGAGATTGTTCTGAAATTTCAAATGAACCATTAGTAGACTTGTGGCTTTAGCTTCATTGTGTTTCTAAAATCATATCCTACAGCGACATATTTTTATACATTTAAAAAACATGTTTTTAATATTTTTATTTTCATGTTTGAGCTTATATATCTTTATTATCATAACAGTCTGAGTAATTCTGATTCCTGAACAGTAAACTTTGAAGTGTCAGCTTTGTGAACATATGTTGATATATGATGTTGCGGCTCGTGAGCAGCAACCTTTTTATTTTGGGTATGTCATTTGTGTCTCCATGCTGAAAATGGGGGACAAACAACAAAAGACAAGGAAATCACTCACTGCTCTTGATTGAATAGCTTTTGTAACTTCAACAAGGATTGGTCTTTAATTTATACAGTGAAATGTTATTTTACATTTGTTCACTTAAATTTCTGTGCCTGAAAATTCCTGTTAAACACCTGAAATGCCTGACCATAGTCCTTTTTTCTCTGAACATAGCAAATACCGAACTGTGACCCTAAAACCCTGAACCGAATTGAACCGTGAGCAATCTGAACCATTACACTCTTAGTAAACACTGTGAAACAAATCTGTGTGCAATTTGTCACTGTGGCAAATAACAGATGGTAGATCCGGTTAAACTTTTCCATCTATTTTGAAGGAGGAAAAAAAATGTGGGATGAATGAGGGGGGAAGCCCTTACAGATGCAAGTCAGCATTTCACACTGCCACACTTTTGATCTTGAGATGGTGCAGAAATGCAGCAAATTCAAAGGGAATTATTTATATGCTATCATGGCAAGGTCTTTAAAACAGTATCATTAAAGCGTTGGTGTAGCTGGAACATTAGGAAGTTTCATGTCATGGTCAGGACATGGAAAAACAGTAGACCGATGTTTTACTGTTTTTTGGTTGTGTCCGATAAGAGGAGCTGAGTTACTGGGCTGCTTTCCTAACTTTAGATTGGAATTTTACAATTTTACATTACATCCTGTCATTGAAATTACTGAAGGTAGATTCATTCTTCAAACGCCCAGGGATGGTTTGAAGTTGGCTGTCTGTCAATACCTGAAACATTATGTTTGAAGGTACCACGACCTTGTATTGCTGATCTCAGATTTAATTTATTCCTAGTTAAAAGACGGAGGATGATCTACATCTTTATCTGCACATATATGAGTAAAATTTGGTCTCATCTTCAAAATAAATAAATAAAATAAAATAAAAAAGGAAAAAAAAAATGTACAAGGGCTGGCCAACATAGCTACAGTAAGAAAAAAAATTATTTCAATGTTTAACAGTTCTTGGTAAACATGCAAGAACTGGCCATGGAATTAGCTTAATGGGGCCTACACTATTGTTCAGAAGTTTGGGGTCAATATCAATACATTTATTCAGCAGTGACACACTGTGATCAAAAGTGACGGTAAAAACTTTTACATTGTTTGTTTGAAAAAAAGCTGTTTCAAATGAATTTGATTCTTTTGACTTTTTTTTTTTTTTTTTTTTTTTTTAAAAAAAACTGTTTTAAAATAAATTTGTTTTTTTTGCTTTTTTTTTTTTTTTTGTTTATCTAAAAAAAAAATATTGAAAATATTGAAAGAAAAAAGTGAAAAGTTTCCACAAAAATATTAAAGCAGCACAACCAAAACAAAAAGAAATGTTTCTTGAGTACCAAAACAGCCTATTAAGACTGTTTTCTGAAAGATCATGTGACACTGGAATAATTTCTGATTTTAAAATAACAGCTTTGCCATCACAGGTATAATTTTACAATTTAAAATTTACTAAAATAGAAAGGAGTTCTTGTAATATTTCACAATAATGTTGTTTGTCCTCTATTTTTTTTTTTAATGAATGCAGCCTTTGTGGGAATAAGAGACTTCTTTCAAACCAAACAAACAAACATAAATCAAAAATGAAAGCCTAATTTTGAAATAAAAAGTGCATTAAATAATTTAATATTCATATTAAGAATCTTGTAATATCAATGTAACTATGTTCGTAGCTAAGGGAAGAAGGAGGCGGAAACCAGCGAACATTTAAACATAAAACTTTAATAATCAAACAAACAAACACAAAACGAAAGTAAAAGCGGCAGCCCCTAACAGATGCCTGCCGCTTAAAACATCATAAAACAACAACATAAATAGTCCAGGCCTGGTCCTCTCTCGTCCATCACTGTCGTTACTCCTTTTATCCTTCCGGAGCTCCTCCATGGGACTCGAGACCGGTGAGTGGCGCAGGTCGCTCTTCATTTACTCCACCAGCCTCGCTCCGTTCCCGCGGCTCTTTGCCCTGCCCCACTTGTCACAATCAAATATCACATATAGTGTAAATATTTGACCTATGCCCCAGCCGTAATGCTATAATATACGATATTGCCCTATGCGTAATCTAACTAATCTAAGTGTTTGCAAAAACGTACATGCATTCTTGTACCACATACATAGAGCGACTAATGTGTTTTGTCCTGTTACACTATTATTTTTATTATATATCACCTTCTTGACATTTTAAATTGTGAACTGGATTGCGGTTTCTCCATGAAATCTTTATGCATCTTATGCAGTATGGATCTTTTCATAGGTGGAACTTCTTTAACCATGACATTTTTAGCATTCAGTTGAAACATGATGGAAATATAATTCAATCATTCCCAACTTTCCACAGGCACATCTCTCCTAGTAGCTTGAGAGTGAATAGTAATGCATATATTCATGTTGAGCCTGCCCAGTGTTGAATTCGTGGGTAAACCCTGCTAGAGTCGCACCATTTCACTGCTGTTCCCTGCTGTGCTCTGCTGCAGCTCCAGCGCTCCTTTTCATTCATTATTTTTGAGTAGCGTGAGGCTATGGTATCTCAGGGTGCTGCAGCACCATACAGCGGAGCTAGAAGTCACAGTCGCACATCAGAAGTTCAGAACCATAGCTGCTGCTGGAAATGTGACATCCCATTTTTGGAAACAGTAGTCCAGCTGGAATATATGCATTTTATTCTGAACACATGAAATCTTTTTCTGTTAATGAGTGTGACGTAGGAACAGAGACGAGAGGGTTAATAAAAAAAAAAAAAAATTTAAATCTGTATAAATTACTGATTAAAAATATAATCATAATCACTGTATGTAAGTTAGCCGATTACTTTAGTTGCTAAGTTTATTCAAGACATTAGTGTGTTAATGTTGTGACTGTGACTACTGTAAATAATTTTTCCACCTGTTTTTTTTTTTCATTTCATAAATTATTATTTTCTTTTTCCATCTGTTCTTTTCTATTCATATACAAAAAGATTTTATCACTTTGTAATGGTAATACATATATTATATTAGAGTATACTAGAGCCTAGAATAACATAGCATCAGCTTTTCCTCCCTTATATAAAAGGTCTCAAATTGTATACATTAATGTTTTAGCTCAAATGCCCTCTTGTGGTCTCTTGTGACTGTTGCACATGCTCTTTGAGGAATGATACCTGGATGGATATTCTATCAGATGCTCAAATGGGAATGTTGTAGTCAATGGATTAATTTCAGTTTACACAAGTAAACTGTTAACCATCAATGAATAAATAAATTAGGTACTAATTTATTATACTTCACTTGAAGTTTGGAGGGAAAAAAAACATGCAATCTAAAATGGATTATTCATTTAAATTTTTCTGCTACTATGGACCTGCAAATTTATGGTTCCACAGTAACACAGACCAAATCCATTCCTGTGATTAGATATACACTACTGCTTAAAAAGTTAGTTAAGTCATTAAGTGTTGTTGTTTTTTGTTTGATTTTTTTTGTTTTTGTTAGAAATTAATATATCATTTATTCTGTAATGATGCATTAAATTGATCAAAGGTAAATACATTTATAATGTTGCAGATGATGTCTGTTTCAAGTAAATACTGTTCTTTTGATTTTTCTATTATCTATTAATGAAAAATCCTGAAAAAAAAAACATTTTAAACATTGATTAATAATGAAAAATTAGCTCCCTTGAAAATTGTCTTAAAATGTTACTGTATTTTTGATCAAATAAATGCAGCCTTGGTCAGTATAAGAGACTTCTTTTAAGAACCCCAACTTTACCCTACTGACCCCACACATTTGAAAAAGTAGTGTATTCAGAACTACTCCTACACATGTTTGAGATGTCACATACAGTCAGTGTGAGTGCAGGGGTTAAATATTCATGTTGTCTTTGGGACTGAATGGATCTAGAGAGCTGGAAAACTAGGTCACTTCTGGCACCACTGGGGTTACCGTTGAAATCTGGGTCACCTGTTAGCATGCACTGATGGTGAATGACTAAGCAAAGACGGCTGGTAATTGGCTGTCAGGGTGCCCAAGTTGCACATCCAACATGGACAGGAGTAATGATTTTAACATTAAAATTATCACCTTTAAGCATGAATCGTTTCTTTTATTATTAATGTGTGTTGTTTTTTTATTTACTCAGTCATGAACGTTGTTTGTTCTCTTTTTTTGTGCTTACAGAAAGAGCTCAGCCTTCCCAGACGAGGAAGTTTGTGAGTAAATCTTCTTTAATTGTCTTTAACACAACCATCACCAGCAAAACAATTTTTTTAAAGATTTTTATCATCTACAGACCATTCAGGGTAGTATGGAAACCTGTTTCCACAACGGAATAAAAATTTAAAAAGTAAATTGACTTTTTATCAAACAATTCAATTAATTGCGACTCTATATTCTATAATATCTCAGAATTGTGAGATATAAACTCAGAATTCTGTGGGAAAGAAGTCCGAATTGTGTGACTAACTCATAATTGCAAATTTAAAACTTTAAAGGTGCTGTATGTAGGATTGACACCGAGTGGTTGAACTAGGTATTGCAGTCCAAATTCAAAATATTGGAGAGGGTTTTTTTCACCCGGCCCCTCCTCCTTAGACTTGACGCACACGCAGGTTGCCAGATTGACTACACCAACAGGAACGAGCGCACTTGACGATGGATGAAATGAAATACGCGGTGTTTTCCGCCAACTGGCAACCCAGGGTCCCGAAATACAACTGGGTAAACTGGCAGTGGGCGGGTTTCACAAACCAAAACAGAGAACGACATTCTGACCCGGAACGCACATTTTCAAAGGAGAATAACTGACTGTAGCATTGTTTTTCAGATAAACAAGTATGTTAACTTAGCATGTTTCTTAAATATCTGCAAACATATTATGGTATTTTTTATGCTTTAGTAGAGTAAAAAACTTACATACAGCACCTTTAAGCGAAATAACGTTGCGTTTCTGAGAAGAAAAGTCAGAAGTCTGCGTTTATATCTTGTAATTCTGACTTTTTTCCTCCGAATGGTGAGAAACAAAGTCTGAATTATGAGATAAAAAGTCAGAATTCATTTCATTCTGTCATTCTGTGGCAGAAACAGGCTTCCAGAGGGTAGGCACCATTAAGATGGCGATAATATGGCTGTGAAGGGATAGACTTATGATCTGTTCAGTGGGTTATACTGTTGTGTACTTTGTCATCGTCCAGCGGTTAAAACATTGAAAATGCATCTTTCTAAAAAGAAACTTTTAAATGAAAACGTAGGAGTGACTTAAGACTTTAAGATTGTATAGGACTTTTATCTATCACAGCCTCCTTTTCTTTGATGGAAATTAAATATGGCATCTGCTGTGACCCAGCTCAGAATCTGTTTATCATAAGTGCAAACAATGCATGCAGCCTTTGTTTTACAGTGAATTACTAAATTTCATTATTAAAAGAAATAAAAGCATCTCGTTCTCTTGGTCATATTTGTTTTATTGTTTGTTTTCTATTTTTTATTTTTTGCTTTGAAGATTTTGCGAGAGAAAAATGTGAAACATTCCTAGTTGGCTAAATTTCTTAAAAATAACAGTTTTATGTAAATTGCCTTCCCAATTATTTCCCATGTCAAGCTTCTGTATGCAAGTTGATGAGTAAACAATTCTTCTGTTGTCCTTACATCCACATTACATCCACAAGATTTGCTTGTTAAAGCATGGCTTGCATTCGTATTTTTATTTATTTATTGTATATATTTATTGTTTATTTTTGGAGTTGCTCATTTGCATACAAATAATATGAAATAAAACCTTGTTTAGAAATTACAGCTGATAATGTTTACAAACTGATTATGGTTTGTATATTCCATCATGTTGAGCTCGAGGCTTCCAGGCAATCTCTTGCATAGGCCGAGCCGTCACGCAGCTGTCTGCCATGTCACCTAGCCTTGAACTTTGGCAGTGACCAGAAATTTGAAATGTAAGATCTTTGTCTGTCATTTGAACTGGGCACTCAGTAAACGGTGATCTACATGTTGCAACATTTATTGTAGGGCTTCATAGTTACTTGAAATGAAAATGAAATCACAACATGGCCTAGAATAATTATTAAATTGCAATCTCCGTGTAAACTGAAGTGATTAAAGTCCTACAGGTTTGGAATGACTTGAAGGCGTAGATGATGACAGAATTTTCATGTTTCATTTTCGAAGGGTTTTATATTGTGATCTAAAGCCTTGTTTACTCGTGTCTCTTTATAGGATGCATATTCATCCGTTACATTGATTAATGAAACCTTCACTTCCTGTTGATGATGTCTCTGAGGGAGTCTTGGGTAACAAACTTATATACTGACAGTTCAAATAAACCAATCTGTGCGTTACACCCTAGCCATTGGTTTGGATTTTCAAACAAGATCAGTTTTCTCTGAAAAACAGAATAACTGTAACTTGTTTAACATTATTTTTCCACCGTTATTTTCTGTCGATTGGGTTTAACTGCTAAATAAAATGTTTTCAAAGCTCCTGTTAAAGGGGTCCTATTATGCTCTTTTACAAAGTCTTGATTTTGTTTTGGGGGTGTACTAGAACAGGCTCTCATACTAGGTTGTTCGAAACACACATTATTTTTCACATATTTTACATTATTACAACACCTCTCTCCCCAGTCTGGCATGAACGGCTCGAATCTTTATTCTCGAAATATTTCGACTTTATTCTCGAAATCTTTGATTTTTTATTTTTTTAACATGGCACTAAAACGCCGTCGTAGTTTTTAGTTTGAAATAAATATGCAATAGATATATTGTTTGATTGATCCCGTACCACCTTTGTGTTTTTCTCCCCAAACCCTCCCACCGCTTATTTCTTTTTATATTTATTTATGTCCATTTTCCTACTCTGTAACACAAGTGCAACAAATGTACAAAAAATATTTCAAGTAATTATATATAATATAATATATTTTTTAAGCTGGTTTTCATATCCTGTTTCAACCAGTTTTAGACTAGTCACACTTTTTTCCCACTCCACAGCAGTGTCATCCTATGTTCACTGTTCATTTCAAAACATTTATTCATACAAGAAAACTGAGTGCTAATGCAATGTCTCTGACAATACACACCCGTACCCGTATTCCATCCATTGCGCTCTCTCGGTTGGATGTATATGATAGATCTTCAATGTGTCCAAACCTGTCAGAAACAAATTAGAAGAAGAAAAAACATGTCAATTAATTTTATTGGCCTTTTGCATTTATGATTTATGGCCTGCTGCTATGACGGCGGCACAGGCATCGTGTGATGAATGTGCCGTTACAGTTGTCTGTCTGTTTCTGAGAGGGAGTGAGTCAATGCAATGGTCACGTGACTTGGCTCGATCAACAGTGGGATGTAGCTGAAGTGGTGGATGGGGAGGATATGGACACTCAGGTCATGCTCTCCAGATGGATTTACTGAATGTTAATGAGAGGTGAGCCACCCGTTTATACATCAGCATTGGCAGCAGCAGGTCAGTGGCTCTGAGATGTGTTTTGACTTCAGTTTTTATAACATATCTATTTTTTATGTATTTATCTAAAATAAAGTAGCTTTTATAAATGTATAAAATAATTAAATTAAACTAATTTAATATTGCTAGCTAGCAAATGGTGAAAAATAAAAACAAAAAAAAATCCTATTTAATTGTAAGGGATGATATAGCAAGGATCTTGTGAAACTGGATTGCGGCTTAGCTTTTATTTTCATATTTTCAGTTTTTATTTTATAGTAACTTTGCTATGTGCTGTTGTAATTTTTATGATTGTAATTTTTTTTATATTTCTATATAGATTTAAATTTTAGTAATTTTAGTACTTAAACTTTTCGGTAACACTTTATTTTAGGGTCTCTTAAGTAGTTGCTTATTAAGCATGCATATTACTAGAATATTAGCCAGTTATTAGTACGAATTAAGCACATATTAATGCCTTATTCTGCATGACCTTATTCTACATCCCTAATCCTACCCAATGCCTAGAAATAACAACTACCTTACTAACTATTAATACGCAGCAAATTAGGAATTTATTGAGGGAAAAGTCGTAGTTAATAGTGAATAAGTATTCCCTATTCTAAAGTGTTACCAACTTTTCTTTTCTGTTAATTTCTCTTTGCATTTCATTTAGTTGCCAAGGCAACATTTCTAATTTTCACAGAAATTTTCACCACCACAATATTATGATGTGGGTTGTTGATATGAGGTTACTAGGGTGTTTTAGGTGGTTGACGAGGTGGTTTAATTAGGTGTAATTTTTATACTTACAATTTTAATTTTAGTTCAGGTTTTAGTCATTTTTTCTGTTTTTGTAATTAGTGTTATTTTTATAAAATATTTCTTAACATTAATATGTTTTTAATTTCTGTTTTAGATTTAGTAAGCTTAATATTTCAACTTAAACAGTTAGTATTTCAACCTACTAACTTATTTCAGTTTCTAATTAAATTGTAAGTTGAATTTTTTAAACTAATTTTCATTCAAGTGTATCCTGTAATATTTATATTTGATTTGATTTTAGCTGTATTTCAACTACTTATATTGGAATTTTTTGAAAATTTGATGAAAAAAAAACATGACATATTATTATTGGAAAATATACAATTATTGAAATATGGCCCCTTTAACGCTTTTCCTTTGAATGCACATAATGTGTTATTGTCAGATATGATGGCACTATGGAAAAGAAAGGGTTACAGCAATTCATGGATGTAAATAGAGGGTAATAAGTGAAGTGTGACCTGTTAAATCCCAATGGAGCTGTCCCAGCGGCCTCAGCTGATTGCTTCATTCCCTCAAACACATGTGCACATGCATACAATGAGCATTGAACATTCTTGAACAATCTAAAAGATTAAAGCTGTTTTGATTATACATTAAAGAATTGCCTTTTGGCTTCAGATAAATATGTTTCAGATAAATAAGTTTTACTAATCCAGTTTCTCAACATGAATAAGTTTGGCCTAATTCGGAAGAAACAGCAGGTGTTTAACTGGGTTCTGTCCTTACGCTCCACTTTTTGACCGCCTGCTGCTCCTGCTTGGTTTTTGTTGCAGTGTATACTGTCATCTGCGATTGTGTGCTCCCAAGAGCCTGCCAACTGTGGTCAACAATTTACTTTTCCTGAAATGCAGCCCATTAGACCCTGTATTCACATTTGCTGTGTAATTGGTTTTGCCTTTGTATCTTCATCCTGTTGTTTGCCTGAGTGCTT